CTAAAATGGTATTTGAAGGCCATATAAAAAAGCTAAAATTTTGAAGAGAAGACAATTCTAAGGAAATGCCACGTTAATACAGCATTTCACAGTCTGATAGATATTTGCATTTCTGTGGGGCAAATGGGGGGGGGGAAGGCAAGATGAACCTCCAAATAAGACAACCAGTATAAGGGTGACTGATCACAACGCAGAGGGTCAAAGAGTTCTTGAACTGGTACATTTATTAGTAACAATTAAAGCAGATTTTGCTCTGTTTTGTTTCTGGGTTTCTGTTTGTAAGCTTGTTTTTAGGTAGTTTTAATATAAGGTGAGGTCCTTTTTCACTGGATTTTTTTTTGTTCTTTTTGTAAAAGCTTCAGCTTCTAAGCCCTGTTCCTTTCCTTTTTTTTTTTTTTTAATAAAAGGGCAATTTTCTTGTTTTTTAATATTTAAAATATTTTTTAAAAATGGATGAGAGTATCCTGAATCCACAGCCAGCTACAGTAAACAAATTGTTCTTTGTGTATACAGGATAATAGGTAATTCTACACAATGATGACCTAAATTACATTAAAGCATAGCAAAAGCTCATCTTCAGTCATACCTTTGATAATGTTATGTTTTGTTGATGGCATCAAATTTTGACAAAGCAAGCCATCAAGCTTCTACAAAATGATCTTTTTAGTATTCTGGATAGCTTTACTATTTTCTTGATTTCTGCTTTGTTAAAATATGTATTTATTTATGCATAGACATTCATACATAAGTCAATCGATCGTTATTTATGTTGATCCATCCAAATATATATGCTCCCTTCAAAAACACTTCATATGTCAAAAGAAAAATGAGCTCAATGCAATAAATAACATAGAATACCTATTATAAATAGAAAGGCAAAGTGACTTACATGGATATATGTTCATAGAATAAAGTGAAAATAAAGTATTCCATACAAAATGAACAACATGTTACCAACCAGGCAGAAGAAACTTTAGGTAAAAGTTCTAAGAAAAAGCTATGTCAAACTGAACAACTTCTAACCACACTTCACTGGGAGCTACTTCAAGTAATCTATCCAGCAACTAATCAGAAGAACTCTCCGTATCGCACGAAGCACTGCAGAGAAACACTACATCTTTCACAGACAACTCTGCATGCACTGGAGACCAGAGGTCAGTTTTTACATTCAGGCTCCTACCGCAATACATCTCCATAGATAGATCCAGACAGAAAAGGCCATCTCCTCCGTGTCAGATACAAGCCAGGTCCAGCACAGAAACATGAAAACCTTTGCTACAAACTATTGGAGAAAATAAGGCCAAAGAAGAGAGGACACTGTATACAAATTGGGTATTTCAACACCAGAGGACCTTTAAAACCTTCTAAAGCATCCTCTTCCTCAGCAAAGCCTTCCTACCAGGTATGGGACATCTCTTTCTCAGATACATGCAATGAGGTCTCTAATTAAGTAAACTGGCAGCAGAAAAATGTTGATGAGACCAATTAGGTATTTAGTTGTGCTGGTTTGTTTTCCCTGGAAATACTTAATGCTGTGGTAATGGATTCTATAGAGGCGAGGTAAACAGATCATCAACTGCTCTCTCTCAAAATTTTAATCAAATATAAGCAAATATGAGAAATATTTAGCAAATACATTAATAGCTCCCTAATATACTAACACACACTGAAATGGTATTTTAGATCTGGCACAGTTCTTACACAGTTAAAAGACAGCACTTTAAAGAGTGTGACCTTGAAAACAGTTCTGAAAAATAACAGCTATGCGACCTTAAAATACATTAATTCATTAGATAAAAGTTTGTTCTCCCCAACGGCAAACATTTTCAATTTCACCACCAAAATGTCATGACTCAAACAGCAGATGTTTCTCCGAGCTTTTCTCTTAATCTTTACAAAATCCTCTACTCTAGGTAAATAGCAAGAAACTGAAATAACTTGCAACCACTGTGGTAGCTTCAAAACAATGGTATCACGGCGCAATCATTTGGTATCTGATATAAACCTCTCTCTGTTGTTCTTCACTAGTCACATGTGGCCTGCCATCCCATTAGGCAACCCTAGAAATTATGTGTAACAGTAGACAACTTAGACTGATGCCGGATTTTCACAAGGATGTAAAGTATTACCGTACACTTGATTTCACTGAAGCCATATTTCCCCCTCTGTGCAATTAGCACTTCCTGGCTTCATATAAATTTTCCTGCTCAAACATTTAATTTCTTTTTTTTTTCCCCTTCATCTTCATATACTATCTATTTGAAAGCCTTGACTATTCCCCCCCATTTGAAGAACTCAAGATTCCTGTGTGGGCTATACTGTTACCCAGGTTGTCTGCAAAAATAAGGATTGGAAACATCTTATTTTACACTTTCGTCAATTTATTGAAAATAGTTGATCCAAGTCTATGCGTTTTCCCACATCCAGGGCTTTCAAAATAGAGTGTAAAGTTGGGATCTTTGACTCAGTCAGGCATACCTGTGCCCTGTGTTTCACATCTGCTAATTTTGCTGACCAGTCATGGCTATAGTATTGCTATTCTCTTCCGCACTGCACCTGGAAGGGTGCTATTCCTCTTCGGTTTAGAGCTCTACATATACTTTGTTTATGTGATGGCCACAGAGTATTTGTCATGGGTCTTTCTAGATGAAATTTTCGTATATAGCTAACTTGTTCTCTGCTTTTTCTTCAGTTGCAACGAATGGCTCTTGGAGATTACTCAGGTTAGTACACTATGATTATTTTGTTTAAAGTAGGTATTCCAATGTTTGTTTTACTATCAATTATTACTATTTCCTTATTACATGAAAAAGACATATAAGTATTGTTTTGGAAGGGATTTTGGTAAGCCAATCGTAGCGTGTTTGGCAACATGGATCTGTGAGACTGCACCTTTGTTTGAACCCAGACACGTGCTATTGATAGCTACTGCTGATGGATTACCACGCTTTAGATCTTTCCCTTTACGGATTCCTCTTTACCCAGGTCCACTGCCGATTGCTTCCTATACTATTTTTATTCAAAACTGACTGATAAAGTGTTTGCTCTAATGACAATCTTTATAATTGAGAACCATTATGGCAATGTGTCCTCAGTCACACATCTTTTCTCTACTTAACCTGTTCTGCTGGAATGATCTCCACCATCCTGTTTCTGCTAGAGGCAGCTGTTCCTTTGGACAGTTGTGACAATCACTGTTCACAGTGGTCGTTATTCATTCATGCTCCTACATTTTTGGCTTGCTGCTGAAGCGGGAGGGTGATGTGGCAAGGCACTTCTGTCACTTTAGAAACCTCCTTTTACCACATAAAGAGCTTCAAGAGGACATCCTTCTTATCGGCAACTCTTATGGAAGTGACTTTCAGTATACTGTCATTGCAGGTGCACATCTATATGACACCACTTGGTACCATTCAGAGTGCACAGAAGAATTTGTGTTTCAATCAAAGTTATTATTTCCTAATTCTGCAGACCATATGGCACCATAAAGCCCACAGTAAAGCAGATATTTTTGAAGCATGACATTAACTTCACTAGGGATATTAACAAAGATGAGTAATGTTATCCTCACTGAAGTATGAATTATGCCAATGTTTTCAAATTTGGATGATTAAGGTTGTACCTAAAATGACCACCTATTTTTTTGCAGTTCTGAGACTTAACAGGAGTCCACCTGTGTCCGTATCTGAAAGTATTTGTACATATTTCCAGAATGACAATCTAGGCAAAACTGATGAAGTTTGCATTATTCTGATTTATTATTTTTCTGAAGTTTATGATTGATAAGTCTGCCCCTGTTCCTAAGATACCTCTCAGGAAAACAAAAAAATTCATTTCTCAGTAATCACTGCATGTAATTTTAGTTGGACTTTAGGTTGTTAATCAGAGGTACAGCACAAACTGTGCTGCAATTTAATTTAAAATATTTTAAAATTCTGTTCAGTTTTGCAAACGCATCACCTTTCTTCTACAACCTACATAGGTTGCCACATGCCGTAATACTGCCTGCTAAATACCTATGTATTTGTTACCATCAATCCTGTCACCATGCTCTCATTATTAATAAATTAATGGTGTTAATTATTAAAGCATACCGAGCATGTTCTAATTACTTTTTCCTTCCTGCCTCCACTTGCTTAATGCCATATATTCTAACCAGAAACATTTTTTACATTCCCACCATCTCGATGAATGATACAAGCAACAGGGTATATTCTCTTGACATCCAACTTATACCCTCTCTGCATGAACAAGTCAAACGGGCAAAGAAGCTTTGAGATCACGCCTGTGGGCATTAATGAGCTTATTAGAACATTGTAACAAGGATTATCTGAATTTCTTATTCAGAGACTTGAAGCTTTTATAAGTCTCTTGCTTTCAACTACCAACACAGGTCAGTTTAAAAGCACCGCAGTTCTAAAAACACCATTTTTTTCTGCTCATATTGAGATTCGTCATGATGAACATGGATGATTTATGTTCATTAAAAAAGTGGTAAAACTTTTGGTAGACAACACTATATGAAACATAGCATTTTGGGGTTTATTACTATGAATTCAATGTAGCACAACTGACCTTGGCAGTAATTTTCATACTGAAATGAAAACACCACTTTTCATTGAATCCATCACATCCACTTTTAGATGTGAAGCTTTTGCCCACAGTTTTCATTGATTGCACTTGAAAACTTTTCTTCACCTTCAACTTTCCTTCTCTCATAGTAGTAGCAATGAAGATAGTTATTCTGAAAATTACTTGAGTGTATATTTATACAAAGAGGTCATTTCTTTCAACAATTGTACAATTTGGTTATTGGGATTATACTGGAAAAACATGTTTACATGTTTTAAATAAATAAATAAATAGATCCCCTGAAAGCTATACTAGCATCATGCAGAAATATATAGCAAAACTTATCTTAAGACTTTTAATTTATTTTTTTTTACTTCAGTCTGTCTGGAGTAAATACATTCTTAAATCATAGCATTTTTAATGCTTACCAGTTGCTGTCCTTGGATGCCCCAGGCTGCATACTGTAAAACTGAATCCTCTACTTCTGGAGGGTTTAACTCCCAAACTTCCCTTAAAAAAACGTAAACATTTTTACTCGAACACACTGGCATCACCTTATGTACAGAATCACTGACAATGACATCATATTGAACAATGTGACCTACCTTGTGTGTATGTTATAAATCACATATGAAGCTGTATAAGAATAATGAAAAACCTGTGACAAAAAAAAGAAAGCATAAGAATTACAAAAACCAATACTGGATTAAATAGAGACTATCATTATGACAGTCACAGTCTTTCAATCCCTGTAAACACAGATATCTTTATTACTGAAAGAAAGATTTTTCTGAATTAATTACAACCAATAGACTTGAACCAGGGTTTGAATACTGTATGAAGGACACACATACTCATCTACTAATTTAACCACACACTTAACCTGTACAACTGCACAGAAAAGGTCACAATCAGAAAAATCTGTGTTCCTGTTTAACAAAAGGATTTATAAAATCAAAACAAAACCAAACAAAACCCCCCAAGAACATACATTAGGAAAATAAATCACTTTTTCTTGTATTTTGTCATCAAGTTATGGTCAAAATGACTGTACAGACATTGCAGTTATTTTCCTTGAAATGTAGACAGATACAGGGTCATATGATATTTTTCTGACCACCTGCTATGTACAGACTGAACGACCTTCTGAGCTATGGCTCACAGAACAGAAGAGAAAAACTGAGTGCTTACAGGCATCTGTTTGGTGTGGTTTTCCTTAAACGTGTTTCAGTCTGATTTTGACCGACTGACTTTGAAATTCAGGAAAGTTTGTTTTATCTGAGATTTTTCATATGCAACATTTTGGGTAAAACAAAGAGATATTTGTCAGTAAACATTCCTAATTCGTCAGGAAGTTACCAGTGACTTCTGGTCTCAGAAACCCCGGGATTCTCTGGATGGCAGAGAAAAGCAAATCTGATGTCCAGTTTTATGCTGTTGTCTTAATTTGTTGAAAATTTTATTGAAGTTGACTGAAATCAACAGGATTGTTATTTAAGTGAAAAATATCAAGGCCTGATGTATGCGGACCCAGAAGATCCATGGTGGGGAACAGCATGGTACAGCGTATAATGTGATGTACACCACACCGAAGGGCTAAAATCAAAGCAAACTATTACACTTTTCCTCTAAAGTCAAACATTAGTCTCTAGACATATAGTGAATAACAGACATTTTGCTGTCTTCCAGGCTTGGGTGATTGGTTTTAAACTAGCTCATTTCTTTACCACTCTCATTATGAAAATAGCATAATTCCATAGTATTAATTATTTTATTATGAATTTAAATTACCTCATAGTCTTGGAATATAAAATATATTTGTGATTAATTATTACTGTACTAAGAGAAACTCTTTCTTTTTTATGTAAACTACTGTCACAAAGAAACATTGGGTGACATGCGCAAGACTTACTATAGCTTCACATCTACAGAAGTACAGTATTTCTGTTTGGCACATGAAGGACTTATTTCTGGACAGTGTCAGGGTAATTCCAGTTAGATGGAAACAGATACAGCTGTATAGCCAAAACCTTGATACAGATATATGTGTTGGGACTCTTCAGTGTATATTATCTGCACCAGGAATCTTTCAGTATCTCCTCCAAAGAGACGAGACAAAGGAGGATCACACATGAACAGAGCCATCGGAATCTGCCGCTATTGCACACCAGAGGGCTTTTAGAGGTTGTTATTTTGGCTGGAGGTCATTCAGTAACATAACCATCTGAAACACCCTTCCACTGACTCCATTTCCATTATTAGTCCGCTGTCAACACACCCCAAGAATTTAGCATGTCCTAAATCCTTTCTGGTTGATACTGCAAGAAGCCCACAAAGGTCTGAAAGATTAGTAAGTGTACTTTGTGCAACAGTTCAAATTCCCGTCTGTAAAATTTCCCTTTTTTCACGAGAAGCACTGCTATTTTCCAAGTCTATGATGATTATCATCGAAAGTGTTGCTTCAATGAGAAGAATTGCACATATATTAACAATTATGCCCCAAACTGTTTTTTTCTTTTAATTACAGCTTATGATAAAGTGTTTGATCATGCAAGATACCAGCCTCTTCTGAGAAGTGCTAAGTGTGGCAGAAATAGAGAAAAATTATAATAATGTTATGATTGCTGTAAGAGGTACAAAGACACCAAGAAGAGTATTCTAAGAAATTTGATTGATACTTATATTCTCTAAATAGCTATCATAAACATACTACCACCATGTCTCTATACTATATATACATACATCTAATTTTACACATACTATATATACATATACATCTAATTATATACGTAGCAGAAGTAGACTACCTGCTTACATATCATAATGTAAGTTCAGTGGGGTTTCTGGGAAAAATTAACCTGGTAATAACACGATGACTGTCAAGATAGAGTTATTCAAGAACTGGCAGTAAGACAATGAGACAAACCATTGGCTTCAGAGCTCCTGCTTTCTTTTATAAATCTTACATTGCTAGAGGTAAGAGATGGCAGATCAAAGGGACATAAAGAGTTAAATCATGGTGGTTTCTGCACAGGGCGTACATTGCCGGAGGCCACTCAGAGGGGCACTTGCCAGCAGCTGTTAAAGGGGACGGTCTCATACAGCCAGTTAGAGCAAAGAGGAATGGGTCTCTTGCCCTTCCAGGAAAATGGAAAAGTATATACAGATAATGTGTGGAGAGGTCATAAGTATTTAGAGCAGAAATATCTTAAAAGTAAATTATTAGAATATATTTCAACAAGAAATGATGACTAATAAGTCATTTTGATAGCTTTAAAAGAAAATACGCTATAGCAACAAGAAGGACACTTCATATTTCACGTGGAAACTCTCCTCTTGCCTTGTAGCAAATTTTCTATCTAAATGTTTATGTAGAATATTAATATCTTTTTGTTATAAGTATCAGTACCTTTGAAAGAGCTCCACAACCAGAGGAGACCAACATTACAATGAAGTCACGTTCAGAAAGGATGCTGACATTTTTCTTAAATTACTCATGTTGGTTTTATTTCTTAATAGGAACACCATGAATAAATTACAAGTAGGAAGTTTCCTAATTCATCCTGCTTGCAATAGTCACATACTGAAACACCATCATTATTGAAATTAAAACAAACAAAAAAAAAGAGGATGTAGAAAAATCTTTCTTTTTCAAGTCTGGCTTATTATATAAATGCCATATTCTGAGGGAGCTCTCACAGTTTTGTATAAAGGCTTACCCTTTTAGGATCTTCACTATTTTGGTAAAGCTTTAGCTTGCACAGAGCCATGTCAGTGGCTGGGACCACATGACTCTTGATCCTTAATGTACCAGATCCAACATCACGCAAGAGGAGCCCAGCTGAGGGCACCATGTCTGACACTAACCACAGGGAGCATCAAGGACTCTCAAAATACCAGGATCAAACCTCCCATGCTGCCACCAGCCATGTCCCCACTGGAAGAGGCATACATAGGCTTGGGGAATTTTGCCCTGCAACTCTTCTTTTGTGGGATGTGCACTAATCAGAAAAAAAAACCTGGTAATTTATGATGGAGTTTGCAAAGAAACAGACTGAGAGATCACATGGGTAAAGCTCAGGCTGCAGTGTCCCTTCACACAGTGTATTTACAGTGAAGGCTGGTCATCATCTTCACCATTCAAATCCAAAGTGCTATCATTCCTATACTGAAACGTTTTCAAATGGTTCTTGTACTCCATGCCTTCTAACTAGGATCATATCGAAAGACTAAACTAAGGCTAATATTTGAACACGGACAGTAAGTTACTCCAGCTGACAAAAATATGACACACTTAAATAGTGTGAAACTGAGGAAAAGGGAGAAAGGTTGTAGTGAAAAAAGATTCATCATCTAGGTAGAAAGAAGAGAATCAATTAATGAATATGGACACAAGGAAGGTCTCTAGGAAGTGAAGCAATGTAGGAGAGCAAAGCCTTTTCAAATATTAAATGCATTAATTTCTGTACTGTCATATCACTGGAGGAAAATGAAGACCAAAATGGCCTGGAATAGTTTATTAATATAACTATACACGTTCAGGAGGGACACTGTGGGCAGCCTTACCTCCATGCATGGCATGGGTGCTTGATAGGGTTCAGACCAGTCTGACAAGTAAATAACTTGCCTGTTTCTATTGTGATAAGCTGGAAAATGTTGTCCACAATGTTAAGACCTGTGAAAATGATTTTTTAGATCAGACAACCTCAATATAATTTATTTAATTTTTCTTTTGCCACAGAATGCAGTAGGTAATAACTGTTGCATATCGTATATTTCTTCTGAATTCAGGCTTTCATCAATTTATAAACTGAAGACAGGCTTTCATGTGATGCTGCTCAACACTGAAAAAAGCTGCATTTGTATACGAAAAAAAATAAAATTACAGAACTATATTACAAAGGACCTAAAAGAAAAAGGTGAAAAAAGTATTTCAAGACAAATTACTCCAGTCAAAACTTATTGAAATAACAATCTATTATTCAGCTAACAGCCAACAATAAAAAAAAACCAACACACTTATCAATCACAATCTGAACTTTTAGATGACATATTGCTCTGGGTTTTATATGTCCTTTATTTTGTACCTTTCAAGGAATGTCTTTGTCTTTCTAAAGTTTCTAAAAATGAAGTACTGTCACGGAACTCAATGCGTAGCCCAGCAAGACACAGGAAAACGATGCGCAATGTACACTTAGCCAAATGCACTCCACTAATTCTGTAATATACTGCAGGAAATATTCAGTTTGGGTAATTTGGAAAACATCCCTCAGCAGAATAGTGTTTGTTCCAAAATGCTGCCAAGAAAACCTCACTAGCAGTATTTCTATAGGATGATAAGGCCCTCAGCTCCAAGGAAATGGAGGGGAGCTGATGACATTAGAACCTCACAGCACTACAATCACAAAATGCTCGGGCATGCCAAACACCTTGATGCACCCTTTATCCATTTCCTATATTATAAACCCATTATATTCTTTCACGTGTTATTTATTTAAAGCAATAATGATACCTCCTTGTTAGCGTAGCTTTTTGCAAGGTAGTGAAAACTGTCCTGTATTTTCTTTTTTACCCATGCAGACACTCACACTCTGAACTCATCTCTGCAGTTCTCAGTGCTCCTAGACCTTGTAAATCCTCCTTTCAGATTCAAATAAGACTTCTCATAGGGCATAACAGCACTCAGTCTGAGCAAGAATGATAAAAAGTGACAGTATATGAAATGCACTGAAAATTTTAGCATATACAGTAACACTTTCAGTTATCCCAAAGTTTACCAGCCAAATGGGTTATATATCTCACATAAAATATTCCTGCAGTAGATATCTATTTATTTGTATTGTACCTAGCAAATAACAAAGACACTATTTAAAAGCCATGTTCTACCTATTAACCAAAAAATATTTGCAGTGAAATATTAAATAACTGAAACTTCAGAATATGCCATCATGCCCATCCCATTTATCTCAGAACGCGTACATTGACTTGGAAAGAGAGGAAGTTTGTCAGATAAGGTTCAAAACTGTACAGATCTTCCTGATTCATCAGATCTTTTATGGGTTAATTTACACTTCTGATCACATGAAAAACAAAATCTGGTATTTTAAAAGACTAGTCTGAATGAAAAATAATTCTATTATTATTCTAAGAAATAAAGGAATTAATCAGAATTAAAACCAGAATGATCAACTTTAGCTGTGGGAAGTGTTAACTGCTGCAATAGATGGATGTCTCCCAAATAGTATTATTCATAAAAAGAGACAAAAGAGAAAGATCAAGGAACTCTTTTTATTGCTTCACAGGCACAAGTCAGTTATTAGGCAGTTCAAAGCTAAGAGAACCCCACCTGGAAAAGGTTTTGTGTGCCTGAAAGCTTTTCTATTTTTTCCAGCTACATCAGTTGGTCTAATAAAAGATATTACCTCTTCCCACAAATTTTATCTCATTTATCTCTTCAGGCCATCACATCTATCACAACAATGTTATTGAGAAACAAAGATTCCTGAGCCTCGCTGAAAAAAAGGACTAACTAAAACTAAAAATGATCCTTCCTAATTAATAGCCTGTGTTATAATATATTTCACAAAATACATGAGAATTGAGAAATCAAGGGAGAGGACACACTGAAGCAGGGAAATATACAGGAATACATCTTGCCAAGGACATTCACTTCTTCATTCATCCATGGCTCTTCTAAGTTTTTAAGATCTTTCGTAACACATTAGTGAAATGGCTCAGCATGTTTTCAAAATGCCTCCGTGGGTGCCAGACATAGGAACTACTGGCTGTTGTTACACAGCTTGAAGAACAGCAACACGAGTAGGATTTTGCCTTCATCCTCTTTCCTACAACTGAATTAAGCATTCGAAGAATTACTGAAAAATCTACTTATGCTCAAAACCAAACCAAAAGACTTTGCCATGGTAAAGTGATTACAAGGTCAAGATAAAAGTTAACTGACCATTCATCCGTCATTCATGCAAGGAAGTACTCCCACACGACGACACAAGGAACCTCATTCACAGCTCCAAGATCAAACCTTCAATAAACCTTCACTAAAGACTGAAAATTCAGTTTAGACAAAGAAATGCAAACATATCTTGCTTCCTCTTTTGCCTTTGGGATAAAACTGTCTTGGAAGAAAAATGGAGCCAGCAGAACATGCCATGAACTACAAATAATAAGCAAGTACCAGACGCAGAGTGGAGAGAATGAGGGGAACGTGATGAAATATATACACACAGGATGGTAACCGAGACCTTTGAAGGGATTACTGAAATTAATGCACTATGCCTGCGACAGTGGCATCCAAAGCAAGTGACACAGCAGACAATATGAGACTGTGTTGATGACTTTGGGAACGTCTATCCCACAGATGCACACAACCCATCTAACTCCACATGATTTAACCCCAGCTAACGGGGAGTGCAATGAAGGGCAAAGCTGAGCTAGTCGCGCATGAGCTCACAATCCAGGGCTTTGGCACGGCTTCTCAGGCATGACGCTGCATTGATCCAGCCACAGCATTTTCAGACCACAATTAGTATCTACACACAGTGCGACAACATACAAATTAAGACTAAAATGAGGTTGGATGGCTCTATAACATATTCTGTTGTATGGTGGAGACCTGACTTTTGCTACTTAATTTTCAGCTATCATGAAATGAGCCAGCCAAAACAAATAATTGTATTACGTATTTTCAGTAAGTCAAGTTACCGTACATTCAAATTCACTCTCTATACAAAATCACAGTCTATACAAATTATACAAAATTATAAAAGTCTATACATATTAGTTATATAAATTATGCAAGTTATTATCTAAATTATTTCTCCTCTAGCTAGTCATATTTTACTCTTAGTTTTGCTCAGGGTACACTGGTATAATTCAGATTTCCAACAATGAAAATGAAAAAAGACTTTGAGCCAGTCATTAATGTCATGTACAAACTCTTTATTCTGCTACACATTTGGAGAACACCAAATTATTTGTGGCCAGATTTCATCCTTGTGCTGCTGACAGCGAATGAGTTACAGTGGGAAGGTGTTAGTCTTTGCCTTATACCATCAGAATTCCAAGCAGCAATTTCTTGCTCTCCAAAAAAATGGACCAACATTCACACAACAAACTTCTATTCCTCATTTTCTTTTTATGATATTTAAGACATGTGACTTTTCCAGGACTGCAGTGCAAAGAGAATTGAAATCAGTACCTAATGTGCTGAGCCAGAACTTTCACAAAACACTAAAAATGATATATTCTTTTATTCCCTTTGTATTACGAGATGTGTGACCCCCCCTGTTAGTAAAACCAGTGAGGGAGTTAATAAGATGAAATCAGTAGCAGCATGACTATTGCCCAAGGCAAAGTACAGCTGCTGGATGAATCCTCCTTCCACTCTGCAATTTATGTGCTAAATAAATTAATAATGTTAATGTTATCAGTAACATTATTAGGTAATATCAACCTTCCTTTAAAACTGCATTATCATTCACTTCAAATGTTCCCCATTTGCCTGTCCAGTCTGACTCCATGTGTTCTCCAGCATAGGAACTGCTTCTAAAGGGGATTAAACAATGAAATATGGCACGGTCTTGTCTGGGTGTCATGTAATTGGCTGCTTGAGTGTGTAAAAAGTGAAGCGAGCTCTGCAGCATTCACTTCCAAGCCACAGACTTATGAAACCAACACTTGCACTACAAATTAAGAGTTTGAATAAGACAAACACTATATCAATAAGGGACTGGCTGCATATTTATGAAAATAATATTGGTTAAAGACTGGAGTTCTGCTGATTTCATGCCATGGCTACAAATACAGTGAAACCTCAGACTGTGCATTGATACCAAAG